CTTGTTTTAAGCAAAAACTAACAAAATGTTGATAATATTTTCAGAAAACAAGACTTAATTCCTTGAAGGATAAGTCCACATCCAGAATAAAAATTTTCTGATAATTTACTCACCCCCATGTCTTCCAAGATTTTCATGTCTTTCTTTCTTCAGTCGCAAAGAAATTAAGTTTTTTGAGGAAAACATTCCAGGATTTTTCTCCATGTAGTGGACTTCAAAGGTGGCCAACGATTTCAAGGTCAAAATTGCAGTGTCAATGCAGCTTCAAAGGGCTCTACACGATCCCAGCCGAGAAATAAGGGGCTTATCTGGAGAAACGATCTGTCATTTTCTTAAAAAAAATATTATTTATACACTTTTTAACCCCAAATGCTCGGCTTGCTCTAGCTCTGCGATGCGCATGCACGTCTTCACGCATTACGCAATCCTGCTGGAGAGGTCACGGGTAGGGTTGGGCCAATAGACGATATCATGATCCCCCCCCCCATTCCCCCCGCATCCCAATACCGTGTTCGGAAAGAAAATGACGGGTAGGCGGAACCCCTAAAGGGAATAAATACGAGATGGATGGAAAATATATATTTCAATATTTTTTTCAGCGATCGCACGTACTCTGTTTATACTATGGAGCGGCAGTACTTGCCATACATTTTTTATGTTTGTCAGTGGTACTGAGGATCTGCAAATCTTTCACCATCGTCCTCAGTCATCTCTCCTTACTCTGTTTATGTGGTAAGTGAAATTTTATGTACTGTAGGATGTAACAGGCAACCGTTACACCGTGTCTATTCTTAACTGTTTTAAATTCATTTGAAACCTTTTAAATAAATGAAATCATTTTCAAAATTTTTAATTCCTTGTTTTATTGTTGTGATTATTTTAAATTATTTTTTCGTTTATTTTATGTAAAGCACTTTGAATTACCATTGTGTATGAAATGTGTTATATAAATAAACTTGCCTTGCCTTACACCGGACGCGACGGTTGTCGTGTCGTGCCGCGCCGCATCAGCTAAAGACTGTCTTCACTGAACGCGACAAAGCGACCGTTGAAAATCATTTGAAATTTGTGTCACAGCACGTCATAAATAGAACGCGGCAGCAGTTTACTGTCGGGGATTTGACATGCCACATCCAGTGTAGACCGCATCACTGATTATAATGAGTTCTATAGACTGATCTATATATAATAGGGATGCACCGATACCACTTTTTCCAGTACTCGCCCGATACCGATACTTTTATTTTTGGTACTTGTCGATACCGATATTTTTATTGCATTTGTCAATTTTTTACAGTGGCCGAGAAGTGCAGAACAAATCACAATACTGAAAACAAAAGAACAAATTACAAACGGAAATGCAAGTCTAAAAAACAAAACAATTCAGAAAACACATTGACAAATTCGAAAACAAAATAACAAGTCAGAAAACACAATGACAAATCTGAAAACAAATTAACAAGTCAGTAAACACAACGACAATTCAGACAAACCGGAAAAGGTAGGTATAGTTTGAGACAGCGCCATTGGTTTGGGATTACTCACCGCTGACTGGACGAGACATCTGTCAATCAACATATACAGAGAAGAACAGCAGAGTCCTGGTAGATAGTTCTGAGATGGTTTTAAAGTAGCTCAGTTTAAATGTATTGTATTAATTGCCCTTACTATGGAATAAAAAATACAGGGTGTATATTTATATTTAGTAAAAAGTGGCTGTGAAACATCAGCTCCAGTGGCGCAGATGGATAAGTGTGTGTCACCGACTTTTTGACACGATCGACCCAGGTCCGATCCCGCCTTTTGCTGAGCTTTTTTTCCCTCCCTTTTCAAATCTCATATTAGCAATGGATTCTATTTATACTCCGTGAAAATAGCAGTATTTTTAGCAATATTTTATTTACACTAAGTGCAAATACCTAGTTACACTGTTAAAATAGCAGGATTTCTACTATCAAGTATACTACTTGTTGCAAACAGTGGCAATTATCTGCACTTCAGTATTGTAGTACATTATAAAACAGTATGCAATAATAACGTATTGAGTGTAAATTATAATTTAAATTTAAATTATTAAATGGATGCCACCTTATTGGTACAATAAAGCCCTCCCTACACCTACCCTAACCCTACCCCATACATTATTTTCAACTTTTTGATTATTTCCTTTAATTTTTATTGAAAATAAATGCCTTTACGATGTGATACGTGATTTGAAAAGGGAGGAAAAAAAGTTCGGCAAAAGGCGGGATCGGACCTGGGTCGATCGCGTCAAAAAGCCAAGGGCAAGCGCTTATCCATCTGCGCCACTGGAGCTGATGTTTCACAGCCACTTTTTACTAAATGTAAATATACACCCTGTATTTTTTATTCCATAGTAAGGGCAATTCATACAATACATTTAAACTGAGCTAATTTAATACCATCTCTGAACTTTCTACCATGACTCTGCTGTTTGATTGACAGATACTCGTCCAGTCAGCGGTGAGTAATCCCAAACCAATGGCACTGTCTCAAACTATACCTACCTTTTCCGGTTTGTCTGAATTGTCGTTGGGTTTTCTGACTTGTTATAATGTTTTCTGAATTGTTGTTGTGTTTTCTGAATTGTTTTGTTTTTTAGACTTGCATTTGCGTTTGTAATTTGTTATTTTGTTTTCAGAATTGTGATTTGTTCTGCACTTCTCGGCCACCGTATTTTTAAAATATTGGGTACAGAAACCAAAAGGGTATGTATAATGTTAGTTGTTTAACTTCATATGTTAAATAGATGCAGTCAAACCAAAATTTATTCAGACACCTTCAACATTTCTCACATTATCACAGTTTATTCGCTATAGTTTAGAAAATGGTACTAAAATATGACAAGAACTCCGAGTTACACTGTGTCAGATGTTACTTTCACTGTTCATTGTTTTGCTCTATGGTACATCATCTTTAATTTGGTAACATTAGAGCTGCTCCATTGCAGCGGCTCAGTACTGTATCATGTGCTTTTCTGTAATAATGCAGGGAACCACTCGTTATAAATCTCCAAACTGTGATATTTTCAGAAATAGAAGTCGCGTTTTTTCATCTGAAATGTGCTGCGATTTATATTCCAAAGCCACTCATATAATGCAGAAACACTCAAGCAAACAAAACACGCGCAACGCGTGCACGTATTTGTACTGATGCAGAATGAGAGGACAGAAGTACAGACTAGCGCATTTCACACAGGCTGCTAGATTCACTTTCGCCAGAAAGTCGTGTATGCCTAAGGTTGAAAATAAATGATGTTTATAGTGAATGCCCCTATGAATGGTTTTATTTTTACGATTTAGTTTTAATCCAAATGATGCGTGTGCTAAGTGAGTGAACATCAACGATCACACAACAGAAGTGCGTGTGCTCTCTCGCTCTCTCTCTCTCCCTACCGTTAAGTAACT